AGGAAAACGTCCGTCCATCCGGAGCACGTGTACTATTGGCCAGTTAGAGATAGAGGGTCAAAGGGATGCCGAAAGGGACCAATTAAACGGCCACGACCGGCAGTACACCGTGTTCCAGCAGGCTTCACGAAGTTTTGGTAAATAAGTGGCGGGAGATTGCTCGCTGAAGAGCTTCCTGGCTGCCTCTGTGCACACTTGACGTCGAGAGGATGGAGTGTCTTTGGCTCCTGTGGGAACTTGGGGTCAAATATTTTCGTACCGGCTTGCTTGCCTTTCTCTCCCTATCCTCGATACAAAATTTCCCCGAAATACCAATTTTTTCCGGTTTCAATCGAACGACGTATACGTATATTTCTCACGTTCTTTCATTTTTCAGCATTCGGTCAGCTGGACTTCTCAAAGCTACGAGATGGGGCCTAATGAGAGATGACAAGTCACATATGTACTTCTACCAAATATTTTTAAGTACAATTTATGGATTCCCTCAAACCAAAGCGGATTCTATTAATTTAGCTCCATTATCTAATTGTATTGACATTTTTATTAACACTATACCGTCCGCACGTCTAGTCGGGATTCTTTTGTTTGGCGCCGGTAGGGCTGACTCATTTGCGCATGACACAAACGTGGTGCCACCGGACGGCATAGTGATAATATAAAATTTAATTTAATTAAATTATGTATGTAGAGAATTTTGACATATGTGGTATATACATAGTATATGTATATTTGCTGTACTTTTAACCCTTTCGCGACGGGTGCCGTATATATACGACTGTCACTTATTGTTTCGCAGCGGCTGATGCCGTCTACATACGGCAAATCATATTATTATTAATATGTGTTAATCATTACTAATATATATAATACGTATTAGTAATGTATAGATTAATTTCAAAAGTGAACTCAAAATAAAGCTAGTACAGGCATTAGGCAAAGAAGAAAATGGTGGCGAAGTATGATCAGTCGCGCCATCGTGAAAGGGTGAAATTAACTCAGAGATACCCAAAATACCACGATTTTGATGATTTTAATCAGTAATGACCCATCTCACAGAATAATTTTGACTGTCAAAATTCTACAGCCTGTCATGGAATATATCATATATTCTGCCAATATGTCTGCCAATATCTAGCACACGACTATTCCATAGATAGGTAAAATACATTTTGCAAACTTTTACGACCCTGTGGCCAAAAATCACTGCGTCACGATTTAGTTAAAACACGATTTCCAGGGTCGTTTCTGGAAGATAGGGGATCTTATTTGTCGAAGGAACACAGCGGATGCTGTAATGGCACTTCGTAGCTAGATTAACAGCTGCAATTACAGCTTGTTCTCCACCCTCTGCCACTCTCTTCGAGCAAGAATCCCTAGCTGCTCTTTGATCTTCCTATTTATCGCGGTTACATCGTCGGTGCGCTGGTTTACTCGTTTCACGTAAACACTCTAAGTGGCCGACGAGGGATTGTTATGGGAAAAGGGACCCAACGAAACCGGATGTCCCGTCGTTCCTCCACGCATCGACAACGCGTTTCAAATAGGCTCAAACAGTCCAGCAACCTACGACTTACCCTATTTCAGCTAAAGCAATTTTCTCCTGACTTTGGTAATTTCGTATTAACCCTTTGAACAGTAACGATGCAACAGTCACGTCGTCGAGCTAGAAGCCACCTGCAGTAACGACATCACTGTTGCGTTTCTATATTTATCTTAAAGCAAGGTGAACCTATATGTTGCGATGTCAGTTCAGCTGTTTCGCGGCTACCAGCAACACGTTTCTTGATTAGTGTTATGTTTTCGTGAATAATAGCTGGGCCTGTTGGATATCTCGAAAGTTACTGCTCAAAGGGTTAACACTATGCCGTCCGGAGGCACCACGTTGGTGTCATGCGCAAAACTATCGGGCAAATGTCGCTGTAGCGACCAAGTTCTCAATCAGCAACACGTTTCTTGATTATGTTATGTTTTCGTGAATAATAGCTGGGCCTGTTGGATATCTCGGAAGTTACTGCTCAAAGGGTTAACACTATGCCGTCCGGGGGCACCACGTTGGTGTCATGCGCAAAACTATCGGGCAAATGTCGCTGTAGCGACCAAGTTCTCACCCTCGCCAACAGATAGATTCCTACTTGAAGGAGGTTCCTCGCAAGTCCTCGGTAAAGCCTCGACCTCCCTGAAATGGAAGTTCCTGTGACACCCAAGTATCCCTGGTCTAAGGCAGGGCCTGCTAGAAGCAAGCCTTACCCATGAGTCCTTCACTTCTGTTCCTATACCGCTCAAAAACAGGATTGACTATGTACCCTCAAAATTTGGAGAAAATAGAGGAGCAGGATTGAGAACTCGTGAGAACTAACGATGAGATTAGTAAAACTCGACGATTTATGATCTCTCGAGGACCTCGAAAAACCAACAGCAGCGACAAGCGAAATAATCTGAGCCAATCTTACCGGCGCCAAACAAAAGAATCCAGATTAGATGCGCGGATGGCATAGTGTTAAAATTAGGAAAAGATTCTCGCGTGAAGGATGAAAAATTGTGGAATTCCGGTGGACCGAGACTGAGAGTTTGGAAGAAAGCTCTCGTTCCACGGGGAAAGTAAATAGAAAGGGCGAGGATGAGCAGGCGACGAGGTAATTGGTTCGCGATGATGGGCCATTAGGCGTGTTTTTCGAGTCGGGGATAATATTTTGACGCTGCACGGTGATCGTGCCACCCTATCCAAACAGAAGATTCGACGGTCAAGCAGCCAGCAATAACATCTCGTTTGCAAGCAAGCGGAACGGTTTTGGGCCAGGTCTCGTCGCTCGAGGAAGCATCTGACCTCTGTATGAGAGCACGATGGGGCATTAACTGAGAAAATCCAGGAGCCAGGAATTTTATCTTCCTTTCGGAAGTAAGTACGAATTTGAACGTCCCGTACCTCGTGAGACCCCTAAAATTAGCTAAGAGAGACCTAGGCATCCGGGAAATCTCGATGACCCTAGAAGTTCTTTGGAGTTTTATCATTTTTAGTATCTGGAAACACACGTGCGTTTATGACACGCAGAAGCGTGTTAATAGCATTCTGGGAAAAAATGAGGAAAATAAATCTCGTCCATGGAATAACGCTGCCTAGTGCATTAGCGAGGACCTCAAACGTTTCTCTAGGAGCCGCTGGAAAAGCAAACAATCAAGGTTGATGCGACGTCCCTGTAGGTCTGAAACGCCATAAGCTCTTCCCTGACTATGCAAAGCTTCTGATAGCTCATCCATTAAATCCATCTCTTCGTTTAATTTCGAAAATTCGGGTCTATGAGATATAGACCCAGGGTGTCTCTATGTACTCGAGGCTCCAGAGGTTGGTCCAAGCTCAGAATCATTACCACAGTTGGTTGTCTAGGTGGCGACACTGTTTGTCGATCGATTCGTCGGAAAATTATATTTTTATAACTAATATTAGTCATCTAGTAATGATAAGGATATCATGAAAGCTAGGATTACCGAGCTGGAACGATTAATGAAATTTTCGCGAATGAAATCCGAGGCAGGGGAATATGACGCTTGATATTTGCATGTCTATCAGATTCAGTGCTGCTATAGGTTGACGTCGAAGCTGCTTGGAGTAGCCACAGATTCGATATGGAGGGCATTATCGACGCACCGTCAGGTGGAAGACCGGTATCGCGAAAAAAGAGTGGGAAAAAGGAGGAAAAAGAGTTTTGCCGCGCGTGGACCGGCTAACTCGGACGTATCAGATAAACTTGTCCCGGTGGAGGACGCTTGAGCACTCATACTACGCGCGCCAGCCTTGGATTGCCCAAATGAACAACCTGTTGTCGGGCCCGCTCGCCCTTTCGTGCTTCTACATACTGGGTGCTCCGCGTTCAACCTCTTTTTGAGATGCCGCAGCTGCTCGATGAGTGTAACAGGTAGATTGTTGCGAGGAACGTGTGTAGAGAGGTTCTAAGTTAGGTCAAACGTCAGAACAGGTATCAGAAAGTATAATTTAGAGTAGTCGATGAAAGAATCATGTATAAAGAGGTTCTAAGTTAGGTCAGATGTCAGAACAGGTATCAGAAAGTTTAATTTGGAGTAGTCGATGAAAGAATCATGTATAAACAGGTTCTAAGTTAGGTCAGATGTCAGAACAGGCACCAGAAAGTACAGTTTGGAGTAGCGGATGAAAGGAACGTGCATAGAGAGGGTCTAAGTTAGGTCAAACGTTGGGGTAGATGTCAGAAAATTAGGTAGTGCATTGAAAAGTGTTATAGTAAAAATTAAAGACGAAAATAAACTCTACATCCTAATGATGCGGGGGCGACCCTTTCCCCTACGTTTTGTCTTTTGTCTCTCGTTTTCTGGAGACGTTTTTGACCTGCGTGACCCTAAACAGACAGGCCAGTTCTAACTGTTCGCCCGTTTAATAAACATCTATACAGTTTTTCCACCGTTTCTACTGGCTACTATTTCTTTGCATTAGAACCTCTTAACAAAACGTACTGTGCACAGCTGAGAAGGAGCCATGTCGACCTAACTCCACAGGTGCTTCTGAAATGTCTAGCTTTCGACTTTTATTAGCATTACGTTGACCTAATGAGATAAATTACTATGTCTATGCCATTTGATCTCTCTTCTATTCTATATCTATATTTAATTCTATATCTATATTTAACCTTGTACGTTCTACCAAACTGTAGTCTAATCATCGTGATCACTTATACTAAACTATTCCTAGTTCGATCTTCGCTTACTGAAGACTGACCACGATTCGAATCACGACATGTAACAAAAATACTAATTAGCCTCGTGATACTAATTAGCGCTTCATACCTTCTCGCACTGCTCGTTCGGGCTATCGAAGATTTCTCGATATCGGTTAAAAGTTTAATATTTATATACACAAACGCGTTAGACCCCATCCGAAGAGCTAGCCTAGACAAGTGTCCGAAACGTAGATCGAATAAGCGAGGAATAAAATGGAAGAAAGGGAAGGAAGATAAAATAATGATAGTACTCACTTCCGGCCGCTGTCGAGGAACCTGTCGAACTCGACGGACATTTTGCAACAGAGGGCCCGCCTGTTGTGCGAGGATGAGCACTTGGTGTTGATCATGTGGCCGTCTGTAATCAAACGGGGACATTAAGCTCCGAGGGATGGTGGGCGGTGCAATTAATTAAGAGGTTAATAATCATCCTCCACGCTACTGAGTCTTTATTAAGTCGGCTCCGTCCCTTCGGTAACGCTACTGCTCCATCGTCGGCGATGCTTTCGAGGGCAGACCTCGATCATCCTGATACACAACGTTCTACCTTGCCTAGAGTCGCTCCCACGATACGCGAGTGTTTCAATTATCCTCGTGAACAATACGCAACAATTAACCGTTCGGACCACTCGCCGTAATTACACGGCCGCTTAATCATGGCGGAGGATCGATAGGGAAGTAAACCGAAGGGAAGGGAACAGCGTGCTTTTATACAAGGGGTTTCTTTATTCAGGCCTCGAGGTGATTAATACTTTGCAACAACGCGGCTAATACGATCGTCCATCTCTTTCTTATATTTTGGGTTTAGCCTATTAGTAGACAACGACGGTGATGGATTCCGAGGTCCAAAAGTTTCAGACAACCCAAGAGCTTAAATTTTGACGGACTATGCGTTCAAATCTTGGGGGTACAAGAATCCAACTTTGAAGGAGAGCAAATTCTGAAAACCTAGTGTCCAAATTCTAGAACACCAAAAGTCAAAGTCTCAGAGACCAAATTCTGAAAGCCCAAGCGTCCAAATTCTGGGAATCCAAGAGTCCAGCTCTTAGAGAGACCAAATTCTGAAAGCCCTAGTGTCCAAATTCTAGAACTCCAAGAGTCCAAGTCTGAGAGACCAAATTCTGAAAGCCCAAGCGTCCAAATTCTGGGAATCCAAGAGTCCAACTCTTAGAGAGACCAAATTCTGAAAGCCCTAGTGTCCAAATTCTAGAACTCCAAGAGTCCACGTCTGAGAGACCAAATTCTGAAAGCCCAAGCGTCCAAATTCTGAGAGTCCAATAGTCCAACTCTTAGAGAGACCAAATTCTGAAAGCCCAAGCGTCCGAATTCTGGGAGTCCAAGCACTTATTCTAGACAAAGTGCCTAAGAAGAAGAGTAACAAAGAACCAAAATTCACAATTCTGTGAATCGTCTGATCACCCCATAATGATACTTCCTCGACTAGAAAGGAGTTTTTCCAAAAAAGAAAGGGAAGGAGCATCAAAATTCACGAGGATCCAGATCGATGTTCACGTGTTCCCCTGCGGCATGACTGACGCATCGGTTAGCCGCGTGGGTGGACGCAGGCAGGCCAACAACAGGGAGGATAATGCCGGGCACGGAAGGACCAAAGAGGAGGGGATGAGCACGCGAGCCCTCGGGCACCGTCCGACATTTGACCTCACCACGCGCTCTGCACCGGTCTGCACCTCCACCACAGCCCTTTCTACCTGCCTCACGAAATCCATCCTTGTTCGTCCATCCACCAAGATTACGACCGTATCGTCGATGTCGTTCGAGACCGAGATCGGTGTCACAGACGTTGGAAATTTTCTCACTTCACCTCCTATTTTTAATACTTGAGAAAACGTTTCCCTTTTCGCCGATTTTTCCATTGCAAAATTAATCATCGAGCTCGGTATCGATCGAATATTTTCCCACTTTGCCTCCGATCTTTAACTCTGTGCCTTACCATTTGAGTTCCGATGGAGCGGGCTATAGTCGACTGTCGAACATGTTGAGACACGTCGAGACACGTTGGACACGACGAGCCACTTCTTCCGAACGCCACAGAGAATAGCAGACAACTGAGACAGGAAGACGTGGACGAAAATGAACCACGAATTGACCCGTGATGTTTACGTTGGTTATGTCTACGGAACACGTCTCCCGCACGTGATACTCATGTTTCACCCAATACCCTTACAATATTGTAGAAAGAGGTTAATGCTCAAGATACTGACATTTCCTTGTTCGCCGACTTTTCGATTGCAAAATAAATTACCGATCTTTGAGTAGTTTTCCACTTTACCTTCTATTTTTAATACTCGCGAAACTTACATTGTAACTTTTGCGATTTTTCGATTGCAAAATTCGTTATCGTGTCTTTCTGCAACATTTTCGTGTCCCTTTTTGGTTTCTTCTTTTTTAATGTTTTACTGGCCGATTACTACTCTATCCGATTTACAAGCGGTTTACACGATTGGAATCTGATGCAGATGCTGCTATCTCAAATCGATCGTGAAGTTTTACGGTTCGACTGGTTTATATTTCTAATGATGCAACGTGCAAGAGCGTGCGATCCAGCTATTAAGCGCTGCACCGAAGTCCGAGAGAGTTAACGATCACGGTAGTTTTTTTAAACCAACGCGAACGAGGATTTATACTTTTTCGATCGGAGAGGCTCGTTAGAAGTGGTTCGAGGGGTTCGCGCGTGGCCGAGACGTCGCGTCGGCTCGAATCGGTTCGAATCGGCGCGATCGATCGATCCATCCTCTTGCAAACCGGTCACAGGATCTTCTGCAAGGTGGAATCTCGTCCAGTTTGATCGACACACGGCCCCTCTTCCTTCTTTGACTGAAGAACGCGTGATTATCTAACGATCATCTGACTCGAGATCTACGAAGATCAAGGAGATCGATAGAAGAAGTCATCTTTATCCACAACGACCCGCCATCGAACATCCACGTTAAATCGAAATGAAAAAATAACTAGACCGATTGTACTATTCCGATTTTTAATAAAATACATTTAACATTAAAATTAATTCAACAAGATGTTTTAATAAGAAACAAACCATTAATAATATTGTGAAAATATTTAGATTCCTCGAAATACCGATTTTCTCGTTAATAGGCTCGAAACAATATCGAAGAATGAATTATCGTTAGCGAAATTTCTTCAACAGTGGAATTTCCACGGAATTCATGGAGATACGATACTGTACTGATACGATACTAATGCGAGGATTGTCGAGAAAGAACCGTGGATAAAATCCATTTCCATCCGGTTCGATCGAATCCAGCAGGTGGTCGATCAGAGAACAACGTCAACCCATTTACGCTTAAATCAGTTCACGATCCCATGCCGGTCCAATTACGCCGATACGTTCGATTAATCCCATGGCTCGGCAGATAACGATACACGCGTGTCGTCGACGATTCACGGCCATTAAAACCTTGAATCGACCGAGAGGACAGTTGTGCAAGCTGAGCGTGTTTCGGCGCGACCATTAACCGGGGACAAGGAGCGAACTTTTGAAATGATTGACGAGCACGTGGTCCGCGAACGAGCCAGCTCCTACACGCTCACTCGTTCGTTCCGCGCCGGCAATTATCGCGTAAACGAGGCCAACCATTAAGCCCGGCCGTAATTATCCGTGCCTCGTATTACAACAGAAATAAACGCTCCGATTCGGTTCTTCTTCCTTTTCGTTCATTTATTTCCCTGCCTTCCCGCCAGTACGTATACATACTTCGATATACACTTTCACGTGTTCTCCACGCGATCGTGAATATTCGGACAATTCCGCGAAAACGATCGAAGTGTATACAGGAATGGAGGGGGAACGGCGATTGGTGGGGTGGGCCGGGTGGGGGAAGCAATGGAGTCTTGCTGGAGTTCAGTCGCTTCTCGGCAGCTTGGTTATTACGATCGCGATGAACGAAGACGTTTTCGGACTTAATTACTTGTTTAACTAACGAAAGCCTCGGAAGAAAATTAGGTGACGGGAATTGGTAGTATATTCCGTAGGTGTTCTAATCTTTGTCGCTCGAGATCTTAGTTAGTCTCGAAGACTCTGTAGCCAGTTGCGAACGTGATATCGTAATTATCGAATTCTACGTGTCGATTTACAATTTCTATCGCTGCTTTCCTAACTTATATCTTCCGACTCACTTATCGCCTGAGGTAATTAGACCCACGAAGATAGTATACGATCCATATAAAAATTTATAGAGGACGACGTAACGAGCTTCGTAATATTATGCGTTATAGCCGATACTTCGATAAGCGTCGAAAGAATAGCGAGCCGATTTCGTTCAATCTCGATCGATAAAAGTATAAAGTACTTACTGGTCTGGTTCTGGAAGTAGAGGTCGTCTCGGTCGGTGAAGAACCACGTCTGAAATAAAAAAGAAAAGGAATGTTAAAGCCAGGCTACTCCGAGACCGGGTAAGAGCTATTTCTACAATGGTTTCGAGTCTAACGATCGACGTGTCGGTCACGTACGCTAGCGCCATTGTTTACCGCGGCTAACACGCGCCGCGTACCGATCATAAATTTCAATTTCTTCCGTTCGTTCGGGCTCGGATCGCTCCATCTACGTCCACCTGGATCAATAAATAGATGGGAAAATGAAGCCATACTTTTCCTCTCCCCTTTACACAGGTAAACGGCGAATCGAAATACTCGTCCGATAGACTATACCGATCCAAAATAAATAATGATGTTTCGTGAAAGCGAGAGAAGAAAAAATCACTGTAAATGATCCAAACGAGACAAAATAAAATTCTTACTAATTAATTCGTAAAGACTAAATTATTTGATAAAAATCGGTAAAAAATTCCAGAATTTTTTATCATTCACTTAACCCAATAATATCCTGTCACAATCGAAATTCCAAAATGTTGATATTTTGGAAAATGTATGAACGTAATTATAAAGGAATTTCAGAAATTTTGTAGACAAAACCATTTTCGGTAAAAATCGAGAATTGGGTTATACAAATTGGAGAATGTCTCGAAATTTTTAGTATAGGTTTAGAGAAAAGTTGCGATAAATCTGGCGCAACCCGGCTTTCACGAAGCACTTAAACGGCAGTTTATCGCTATCTACCCGTTTCCAGCGTTGGTCCCGTCCGGTTGGGAATTTCTCCCACGTTCTTTCCCTTTTCCCGCGCACAAGTGGCAGGGATCCGCGTTTCCCGGCTTCGAAAGCGCATCCCGCCACGTGAAAATCCCCGAGACAATGCTAGTGACGTCTGGTGAGCCCAGCGCAAGGCCCTCCCCCTCCCCTGCGGCGTTCACTTCCTGAAGGGAACTCGCCAACTAAAAATAGGCAACTGCTTTAACACGTGCACTGCACCGATCTTTAACGTCGTCGATCTCCGCCAGATGAGACGAAAGAACCGACGAGAAGTAACTCGAAGGTGCTTCTTTCGGAACTACTTACTGTCGCTAATACCGCCATCTACTGGAATTTCGCAGGAACTAATACGGTAATTATCGTATTTAATCAACGTCCTGATGATTATTAATAAACGATTACGACGTACTAAAAATAGAAATAAAAGTGGACATTACATGTAGGAAATAAACGAGCGGTTGAATGTTCTGGCGCGAAAATTTGAAAAATTCGAAAGGTGAAGCGAATTGCTTCGATTTGGGAATGGGTGACATACAAACAGTGAGAGTACGTTATCGATTTGTGGAATATGAAGATGGAGGGATCAAAGAGGGTTAGAGTAATCATGGGATACGGACTTGCAGAGAGAATTGTGAGGATTGGGCGGATGTCCTGTGTGACCGGCAATTAAACCGTTCGCGACAGGGAGAGGGGGGTGGAACGAATCCGGTGGAAAAAGAAAAAGGAAAAAAGGAGGTGAGACGAATAAGCCTCCGAGTCAGCGTTCGCAGAAGGAACACGAATATCCGGCAAACAAGAGACATCACGCGCCAGGGAAAAAGAGGGACGAGAGACGCGATGACGTCAGTGGCACCGGCGTCGCGTTACATCGACGTAATTACGTTAATCCACGCACGTACGTCGCTGCTAAAACGGGCATCATCGTTAAGCTGATCTCTCCACTGGGTCCCGATCTGTCTCTCTTTTTCTCACACTCGTTCACTCATGTGTCAAAGAATGGTTTAAACGTTTTGGTTCCATTCGCTGTTTCCAGCTCTATGAGCGACGTTGACGATTAAACAGGCTTCGAGCTAACTTTAACCAACGCCGAAACTAACAAAGAAGACAAAATAACTTGTTCCAGATGTTTCATCCTCCAAGTTTTCGGAAATACATACATTCATTTACGAAAATATATTAGTTGAAATGTCCAACAAATATAGTATATGAAGTAAAAAAGGAATTCCAAAATTATATTAGTAAAAGGAGAAAATAATTTAACGACGTATACGATAGTTACTGTAAGTTTACCGGAGATACGAGGCGTGGTGGCGCTAGTGAGTTAAGCGAAAAGCCGTCTTAAGGCTGTCATATCCAACAAAACGTGCCAAAGTTAACACTTTCATTCTGGTAGAAACGTAATTTGATCTAACAATAACAACAATTTTTCGTAAAATAATTCAATTATGGGGGAATTAAAGTGCCAAGCGTGGAAGTGGAAATGGCAAGCAGAAATCGGTGGAATTAAAACCCGCAATAGAGGGTGCCAATGAGTTTCAAGGACTCGGAGTGAAGGTCAAGGATGATCGGTCGAAAAAGAGGAAGAAATGGTCGATACTCCGTGCTTTGGTCTCGTAAAATTGCAATGGCGTAGCTGATGGACGTTTTCAGATAAATAAACGACGTAATTGATCAATTATCTGCGAATGGTTCAGGGGCGAAACGGCCGTTGTAAATTGAAGGGTTGCGATATGGAGCGAGTCACTGAAACTAATGACAAACGCTTCAACGGCCGATCGATCGGTATCCTTTTTCTGCCAATGGGATACTCCGGTGAGCACCGATAGCGCGCCGCAACGGACCAATCGAGCGCGATGACTGTCAAGTCGCAATGCACAAATCTCGCGACAGCTACGAAGCAATTTGTCCAATATGACGGTAAATTCGAGAACTAAAAATAAATCTCAGGATCCCTCCGATACCTTTGAAACACAGGGCCAAAGGTGGGACCAAAAGGTAAAGAACGTTTATTAACGTTTCTCCCATCTATTCAAATGATTCACAGTCTTTGGAACGCTTCGATGTACCGTGAAAACAGGCGAAACATTAGCGACGTGAAAAGAAGTCGATTTACATTTTGAACGAGGCGGCAGGTAAACAATTCGACGCCCCTGGCAATGGCTCGCTTTTCTACCCAGCCCCCTCTTCTTCCCTCGGCGGTAAATCACCCTCATCTGTAAATTGGATCGTGAATTCGTAATAGCGTGAAATGAAGGGAACGCCTCGATATTTCCTAATATTCCTCCTTTGCGCTTAGACCGCGCAACATCGACGAAAATGCGAATAAAAAAATGACGGAAGGTTCCATTACGTTCGACTGCGAATTAGACGCTGTAACATGGTTCACGGTAAAAACGGTAGAGGTCGAAGAATTCGATGACAGTCCCGCGATCGATCGCTTCATTACCAACCGCTCCGTAGATTATACGCGATTAAAACGAAATTATGGACCTTCGCGCGATTAAACGATCAAGTAAACTTTTTTCCCACAAAAAGTAGAATTTTTCGGTTTTTAATGCAGGTAATACGGATTATACTTTATTTTCATTATACCAATGATTAATATCAATTATGAGCGTTAAATTTACAAACACACTGCAGGTCGGTAATTTTAATATCAAGATAGGTTATGAAAAAATTTTGTTCAATCCGAATCTATTAAACAACGTGGTTGAAAGGGAGCCAACAACGGCAAGCATTGCGTCGTCCCACAAACACGAGTAAATATATATGCACACCGAAATGGGCTTTCAGATCCTCGATTAATAGCACCGAATGCGCGATTCCTGAGAATCTCGATTGTTAGCCGACCCTCTACCGACTTTCCTGGGCTAGTAGTTCCGGGAAGTGTCGCCGGTAGCGTTGGGAACAGAGGGGTGAGTGGAAGAGTAGACTACAATACGTGCAATTAGTCGCTACAAGATAATATCGCGAAAGTTGAATCCCTATACCTTTCACTCGCAACGCAATGTTAATTTTCGATTGCTTCGAACCAATGACGAACAAAAACCAATACACAAAGTACATACAAATGAACCGATAAAATGAAAACACAAAATTTTCTACCCACGAGTTTTCGTCGAATTTAAAATACTACACGAATTGCGTTTACAAATTTCGAATAAATATTTAACTGTACCTAACCTATAAATATTTTTCTGAAGATCAATCATTACCTTTCCCTTGAAATTATTCCAAACGAAATTGTTTATTAATCCGATTGAATAAAAGTGCTACCAACATGGTAATAAAAGACGAATCGAATATTTTATTGCTGGTCACGAATATTAGCGAAATATATAGATACCCATAGACACCAAACTGTTTGACACGTACCTGATCTTTAGCGAATTGAAACCACGTGCTGATGATATCCGGCAGACGGGAATGGTGGTAATGTTTAGTGGTCTTCACGCTGATGAACAAGTCGTCGAGATTCGTGGTGAACGGTGCCATGGTCGCAGTCACGATCGCAGGTGTCACCGATAATTCCTCACTGATCACCATCCTCCTTGAAACTGGTACTTCCACCAGCTCGCTTCTGCTATTCACTTCGACCGTCATCTCGTCAACCCACTATAACAATACAATACACACACGCGTATATGCATAAGCAAGAACACCATGATACATTCTCACGTCTCTTCGTAAACATAGCGCACGTAAAGTAATAATTCGATCGAATATTCTTGGGAAACAAGCGAACACGTACACGCGAAACAACGAAATGTTTACTTTCCGTTAGTCACTTCGTAATAAAAATAAATTCAACCGGCCTCGATTTAACTAACATTTAACTAACATAACTGGGTATATGTGGATATTTTGAGAATAATTTGCGCGTTTTGAAAACCGTACTACTTATCATCATTTTAAACAGTCGAAAGACCTTTCGAAAATACACGTATTTGATTAAAAAGAATGGAACGCTTACCTGACGGGGTGCAACGGCCTGATAAAGAAGAATCGTGGCATAAGCAGTGGCAAGAACAAGTGCCAACGCCTGTAGACCTCGTCTAGTCGGTAGGCCACGGGGCATTTTAGTACTTCCGGTGCCGGCGTATCTCGCGCCAATCACCAATAAACGAGCCTGCGGCCCGCCACCGAATTTCACTGTCCGACCTTCCACCTCGTGGTTTTCACGTTTTTCTCGGTTTCCGACGATCAACGGCAACCACTTTGCATCGTTCCCCTCCTTCTGTCGCGCGAAAAATACACCAGTCATAACATACGACAATAATCACGTTCTCTGTCACTCCCGAGTTACTTTTCCGAAATATCGAACGATCGATAAAACTGTCCGTTTTCGACAATCAAATCGAGCGTACTCGTTGCGCGAAGTAATCACGTTTGCGCATGACAACAGATCACGTGAATTGTACTCGATTCACTGTACTTCACGGTCACGATGATTTCGGCATATGATATCCGGTAACCAGTTGCTGATGACACTGTCAGTGTCATCGTTCCGTTCCACGCTGATTCGTGGTTAACCGATTTGATTAATGACCCGCCGAAATCGATATATCGATATATGAAATAAACAATATACAATTGAATAAACAATATACTGTAACTCGAAGAACTTATCTCCCGAAGTTATCATAGAAAATTAAGATACTTCTACGTCTTGATTAATCATGCGTTTAATTGTTGTTTTTTGCTAGTGTTGTAAAGAATATAATTACAAATGGAGAATATTAAATGCAACCTGTAGAGAAATTGCAGCGAATATTTGACAGTCAAGTGGTTGTCACACGGGAATGATTTCGTGAAGCGAAGATATACGGAGAACCACGAGGCACACACGCACGAAAACGTACTGCTGCGTGGCGCGCGACAAGCCACCGACTGAACACATGGCCAGTCTCCGTGACTACACTGTAAACATCGCCATAGCAGCCACTTGGCCGGTATGGTGGGAGAACGGCCTGCAAGTGGCACAATGTCTGGAACGAATGAGAAGGGGGGACGTGTTTTAAATGGAGCATCACGTCTTGGCTATTTGGTTAAATTAGTACCATACTAAATCTTAATATCAATTGAGAGCCAATAGATAACAAACAGAGCAATTGTGAGAATTGTTATATTTAATTTTTTTTTTTTATATGAATATTTTACTTTTGCTTTTTAATATATAATCCTTGAATTTCATTATTACATACAAAATTTACATACAAAAAGTAAAAATTTTTTTCTTAATTCTGTTCTGCACAATATATATTATTAGTAGATTAAAATTTGTTCGTTTATTAGATATATATTACATACAGTATTTTCTTTTTAAGGATTAATTTTTGTTGATCGTATTTCGTATATAGTAAAAATCAAGTATTGCTAAATTGTAAAGTATTAAAAATATTTAGTATTATAATACAACGTCATAAAAAATACGTCATTATTGTTAATAGATTCGATCTAGAAAATTGGAGAAAAATCGAAGGCCGAAAGTAACTTATGTTTAATAACAATATCGCAGGTTAGGTATAAATTTTTTCGGAAAACTGTTTCTATTTTTCGTATTACAATATTTAATTATTAAGATTATTAATATTTACATTTGTACATAATTGAATGCACTTCACTGTATAGGAAAAAATTAAAACGGACAATCGTAAGTACTTTATCATGGGCGTACATCCGAACTATACTTATATATCATGATCACGAATTGATACAAATCGTCCATTTCAACTTCAAACACACAATCGTTTTTCACTTCAATAATTGTTTTTTACATAATTAAATTAAATTTTATTACAAACTTCTCCTGCATTTGTAATTAAATGTCCCAAATTACGATAGAAAATACATTTCTATCCAAATGGTTGTTAAGCTTCTGTTTTTCTTTTTAAATAAATACATCTGACGCAATCATCACGATAGCTGCCACTTTGCACTTTTTAAGACCCAATTGCATATGCGTTCATCGCACATCATTCACGTAGCCCTTCGACGTAAAAGTACTATGCTATTGTACAACTTAATCGCTGGACCGAGACGTAGTCCCAATAATGACACCAAATCCTCTTGAGTCAACATTAAAAATGCTTCTCCATCAATATTCTGCAAAGATAAAAACTAAAATTAAATAAAGTTCAAATTTTTTCTTTTCTTTACTTTTTTTTTTTTTTTTAGTACACACGTGTTGCCTAAATATATTTCCAATTTCTTTACAATTGGGGACGCTCTGTATAAATTTAATAACTTCTTCATTCGACCATCTTCGAGGATTTGTATTCTGCTTTGCTACTACCCTGTTTAACGCGTTACTATGTTTCGCCCATATATGCGGTGCATCCGGAAGCGGATTGTATCCAGGATTGTAAACAGATTGATACAGTTCCGTACGCAACTGTTTGTCAGGCATATTTGCAGCATAGGGTATAGTAGTTAACGGTGAGTCACCGTATGAATTTGAGAGGGAATATAAAGGTTCCTCCGAAATTTGTCGTCTACAGAAATATAAAAACGTAATTTGATAATACATAGGTAAAATTTATAAACAAGAGAAAAATACTCAAAGTCGAACCTTTTCTTTCTCTTCCTCAAAAGTTCATCGTCATCCGTTTGTCCATCACTGTGATGATGTTTCGATTTACTAGACCTGTAAATTACGATTTGTTTATTTATATATTTGTTTTATACAATGTACAAATGTAATCAAGAATATTTATACAATTTACTTTTCCGAATTTTCAGATTTATCATTTTTATCAGAAAAATCTCCATCTTCTTGCTTAATATCTTTCTCAGTCTTCATTAACCGTTCCTCCGAGAATAATGGCTTCTCTACCTTTTCTGATTTTTCCATTTTTATTTTATCAGCTTTTTCCAATTTTGGCCTATCTTGTAAATCATCTTCGAAATCGCAAGTTTCGTGTTTCAAATTAAGCCTATCGGCTAATTGTCTAACTTTATGAAGATTTTGAGGTGAATATGGACAACCAGACGCAGAGTTGTGTGTTGCATACTTAGGCCCTTTTACATGTCCTATTCCTTTACAACCATATGTTCCACACTCTGGCCTATCATTTAAATTATCCGGAGCTGTAAATAATATGTATTTCGTGTTATATCAAAACATGAAGTGCAAAAATATGAAAGGTATAACAAAATATTTAAGTCGTACAAAAAACATAAAATCCATTAAAAAGCAACAAAATATAAAAAATATAATGTAAATAAAGAAATATAAATAAAAAATACATTAAAAAAATTATTACTTAATGGTGGTTCCAAGGGGTGACCCGTTTTCATACACCAACCCATAGGATGTATGTCAGGAGAATCATCATCGACCCAGTAGGCATGATTTTCTGGCCATCCGTCAAATCGTATTTTTAACCTATAATAGATTAATAAAGCGTAAATATATTTTGTTAAGTCCTAAATAACTTTGATAAAACTAAATGTTTCCAATTTACGCACATATGATCCTTTACATCTTCAACTGTGGCTACCCTTATAAGTTGAGGTACACGTTTGTCAACCGCTTCCAATTTCATTCCACGCTTAAATCCACAAGGTGGTCGTTGTTTAAAAGCTCTTGCTGGCGCAACCATGGAGCGGGTTTCCCTAAGGTACGCATCCCACGTAAAAGATTTGGGGTCTTTATAATCTGAAATGATAAATTTACATTTTTGTGTATATTCTTTATTTCTGAATAAAGTTAAAGTATAATATTCAATATATATGTTTTTTCTTACTGTTTGGTGGCGTTAGACTGTGACCATTATGATGACACCATCCTACTGGATGAATATATGGAGAACTTGCATCCGCCCAATAATCGTACACTTCATCCCAAGAATCGAAATGAACTAATATACGGGAATCCATTAGACCTGCTATGCTAGCTACGCAAACTAAGGAAGAATGCTTCCTATCTACCGCTTCCAATTTCATTCCCACGCGGAAACCAGTTGGACAAACTGACTAAAATAATAAAATGTCAATTGAATTTATGAAAATTCAAAATAAATCTTCTAATTAAAAATTGATTGGTGCTTACACTTTTATTTGAAAAAATATTTTTTGGTGCTGCAGTAGCTTTGCAAATTTTTAAATACGCGTTCCAATTAAAATTACTAGCTACGTATCCTTTCGGTGGGTCTAATCGATGTCCATTTTTTTCTGACCAACCAACAGGAAATATATCCATACTGTCTGCATTTACCCAGAAATCGTAATTTTCTGGATATCCATCAAAATGCAAACGAATTCGATAACCTGTAATTACACAAATACAGACAGTGAATATACTGAGTGCAATCTGATATTTCGAATATATAAAGGAAAGAACGTGAAACAACTTACCTACTACTTCAACAACCGTAAGAACACAATATCGTGACGGATGTTCAGGATCTATTCCTTCTAATTTCATTCCAACCTTAAAATGATTTTTAGCATATGGGAAGGGATCTTTGAATAGCTTAACAGGTGCTGCTTTTGCTTTACAATGTTCAAGGTATTTAGACCATGAAAATCCGAGTTTTCCTGTCTGCCAAGGATACTACATACAGAGACATTTATAAACAGTATGTTTCAATAATAATAAAAGTGAAGTTTTATCCTAAGTACCTTTGACTCAGTAATATCCCCTTGACTCTCATCATCCATTCCAGTGATGGTATCCTTTGTATCCTCATCTGTTTCAGACTTCACCTTATCGTGTCCTTTGTCTTCAGACTTTTCTTCCACTTCTTTAGACTGTTGTTGTTCTTGAAGTAATCGTTTGCGTTTCCGTTTCGCACGTAAATCTCTGCCAAAAAAAAATGAAAATCAATTTAAATATGTACTAAGTCTTTGAAAAAGTGTATGTTAAATTATATATTTTACATATATATTAAATATGTATTAATATATATTAAATTATATACTTTAGGTCTTTTTCTTTCCGCATCGCAGGCTGTTTTTTAGCTTCTATTATTTCCGTACATGTTGGACCACACGATATTGGACTTTCGAATTCCGCAGCTAATCCGTAACATCCACAGCCTTCACAATGATACATTGTGTCCGCTGAAACGGTCCTAGATTTCCTATCATCAGCTATAAAAATAAATCTATCACATACGGAAAACATTTTTTTTGTGAAGAAGAACGTTATTAATACTTACGTTTCTTCTCGGTGTTTACATTATTAACAGTTACAGGACTAGACTTAGAAGAATTCTGAGTTGAACAAACATTCTCTTTGTCGCCAATACAGTCTTTACCTTGCTTATTTTCATCCTCATCTACTACTTCCATGATACCAAATTCATTCATACAAAACTATGAAATATATTCGCCATTTAAAATTACATAATTTTCTAATTATCTTTATAACGTTATATTAGCATACCTTTAATGTACTCCCGGGAAGAGTGCCAACACCGTCCTTCCAATCTAAAACTTTCGTTGCATCGAAATTAGAATCATTTGGAT